TTAGATAAGATAACTGCCTAATGCTACTATATATAAACAGTAGTGATGTCCCGAACGGTTCGCGAACGGTTCGCCACGAACGGTTCGCCACGGACTCATCATTGAGTAAACTTTGACCCTGTACCTCACAGTCAGCAGACACATTCCAGCCATTCAGCAGCAGACCCTCCCTCCCAGACCCGCCTACCTCCTGGACAGCATCCGTTTTGAAGCTGCATTCTTAGTGAGCTGTCCAGGAGGTGGGAGGGTCTGGGAGGGAGTGTCTGCTGCTGATTGGCTGGAATGTGTCTGCTGACTGTGAGGTACAGGGTCATATGTTCGCCGAACCGTTCGGGACATCACTAATAAACAGAAGTGTAAACATTTATACACATGTTTCATTAACGTCATCTTTTTTAAAATTTTATTTATTTTTCCCCCATCACATTAGGAAAATTACTTTACTGTATACAACCCCCATTTAAGGATTTATCAAAACTGATTTGTTTTTTCCCCATCATTTTTTTAAAAACTTTTACTTTTGACCCAAAACCAAACTAAATATTCAGTACATCCCTAATTTTAGAATACTAGAATCGATTGTTGTAAATAATCCACTAAAAAGCAAAATAAGCGTATATATTTTTCCATGGCAACCACAATTCTAATGTTAAAGGATATACATATATATATATGTGTGCGTTTTTTTTTCCCATTTGAATAAAGCTATGTTGACATAAGCTCATGAGTAACAGGAGACAGACGTTATTTTTCGAGCTGTTCGGTTTCCCCTGTGGCCGTCTTTTTCTTTGTAAGCAGGACTGGGTCTATCATGGAGCAGCCTGCAGCACTCTCAATCGCATATGAGTTGCCTGCAGCTTAGCAAACAATGAGAACAGAGAATAAGGCTTTGCAACTGACCTAGAAAACCCAAGCTTGCTCTAAATCTGACAGAGGGAGTGGGCTAAACCTAACAGCTTTCTGGAGCTTTTATGCATAATTTGGGATTGCAGTAGAAAAATCCCTCCTGCTTCAGAACAATATCCAGAAAATTGAATTTCACTCTTCACTGGCTCATAATTCTAGATTTGTCAAGATAAAAAAAAAATACTGCAACATTTTGGGGTGACGAGAAAATGTAAAGTTCGTCATTATAGCCTCTAGTTGTCGAGAGAAGGAGTAAGGACGATACAGCAATATAACAACTTTGGTTTCGAATCTCAGCTGGATTGTACTGAAACTTTGTCAACATTTCTGGTACTTATACTCACTATAGTGAGGGGGTATGAAGTCCGTGGAATCGATTTTTGATCCCCATCTTATTATTATACAATAACGAGAATTAATTAATACCTCACAGCATTCATTATGGTTCCAAAACAAAGGTGTGGAGTTAAGAAAGCACATGGAAGTGCAGATCGGAGATCGATCAAGTGAAATAAACATAGATTACCTAAAACTGACATTTTCCACCCATGTCAATGGAGCACAAAGGGGTAAATTGAGATACAGGATAGGACTTCAGGCTTGACCTTCTTAAAAATGGGATACTCGGTAGCTATGTTTTTTAAAGCCCATCATCTAGATCCGCAATGGATAGACTCTTCTCTTCTGGTTTCATCAGCCACAGGCAGGGATTGAGTCACATGTCCAGCTGCTGTTAGACCAAATATGCTCACATACTGAATAGAAAAATTAAAGGATCTAAGCACCATAACAACTTTGCATCATTGCAAAAGTTATGGTGCAAAGAGCACCCTGCGCCCACTCTTTTTGTGCTTTACATCCCCCTTTGCAGTCTCAAGTCTATCTAATGTTCAAAATTTCAACTGGACATTTCTCTTTGCCCATGGAGATAGCAGGGCTTCATTCGCATACGTGCACTGTTGAGGGTTCAAAAGATCATCGCACACACACAAAACTATATAGCATACTGTGAATAAATTGATAGCAACTTTGGTTATTGAGCAGTTTCACGCATATATATATACATGAGTGGAACAGCAGTTGAGAAGAAACTATTTATCACATAAAAGGGGGTTTATTTAAAAATGACTGTCGATTACTGTATACTGTGGCCTTTTAATGTCTTAATGCTAAAGTTGTTTATAAGCACAGTAAGGTAAATAAAATGTGCTTTTTTAGTTTCTAAGAACGCATAATTGTTAGAAGAATACTATAAAATATATAGAGATATTTTCCCTGACTTAAAAAAACCCCCATCTTTCCATTAACCTTGATATATACCCTTGTGACATCCGTGATATTCTATATATAAAGAGATTGAGAGAAAGGTTAGCATACTGACCTTGACTATACTTGTATATTGGTATCATATCCCCTCCTAGATGCCTTTCCTACTGAGTAAACAGACCTAATGTACAAAGTATATCCCCATAGCTGATGTCTTCCGTTCTATTTTATTTTTACTTGTCGTAGAATCCTTTCCTGCTTTTTAATGTATTTTATTTGTGATCAAAATCTATGTATTGAGTAATGATATATAAAAGAAAAGAAAAGTTAGAAAAGTGTGACTACATTTTTTAAAAAAAAATATCTATAGTTAATAAGATCCTGTTCAGTTGATCTTTTTTGTTACGTGATAAAAAAAATGCTTGTCTTTACAGCTGCTACTTGAACGTAGACATACCTGGAAGTACACAGAGGGATAAGACAAATATTGAGATCAGACAGTCCGAAGGTCAGGTTTGATAACACATATTCTCAATCCAGAGATGTTTAAGAACTCTGTGCTAACTGTTTGTAATCGGATGGTGTTTTTATAAGAGATCGGTGAATTAAGGTAGTAGTAATGTAATAATGTCAGAGGTAATTAGGGAGATTTGGGTAATAATGATAAAAAAGAATATATGCATATTTTGCAGCAGTATTGGATAAACTATGAACATAATAATACACAATAACACAAACTTAGGTAGACTAATGCCTTGTTTATCAAAACATACAAAGGAAAAACACTGCAACTCTGCATATTTTGCAATTGGACATATTGCTTGTGGCATTACAAAAAGTTTTGTAAACGTTTTGTGTTGTACATAAATGGAAGTCTATGAGATTCTTGCAGGACAAGACCCATTGATCATTAGTGAAATAAGTATATGACTCATTGTTTTAATCCAAATGTATTAAAATTTGTCTTTTTTCAAATACAGTGTCCATAAAAATGCTTAAAATGACTAATCTACAGACCTCTGCTTTGCAATTTGTACTGGTTGATTCAGCTCTACAAACTTCAAAGTCATGTCTGTCCTATCACCTTGATAGCGTTTTATTTACAGTTTAATACTCTTGTTATAAGCTTAACTCTGACTTCCACAAAGATTCACGTAAAGGCTCACTTCGGGACCAAATTTACAAAAAAGAGGAGTCTGATGCTTTGCTGGTTCTTCTTAAAACAAAGCTCTTCTTTTTACACAAAACCCACAAAGGCAAGGGGCCCAAAAACAAAGAAAGAAAATTACAAAAAAAGTGCAATCCATTGTGTGCACAGTGAGCTTACTCATAGGAATATACCCATTACAACTACAGGTAATTTATTTCCTAAAGCAAATATCAACGTTGTACACAATACACTCCTGGTTCTTTAAACCTTTACACACTAAATCAATAAGTGTATTGTGTAAAGTGATGACGAACCAATAGCACCGATGAGACTTCTAGCACTCCAAGACATCTGAAGTAGCACTTGGTGTCTATCCACCTGATAGCCATCATTTCTGATGGTCCAATTAAAGGTGTCCTGCTTTGACATTTAATTCCTCTTGACAACATCATTCAGTAACCTGCCGCTAGTGCTGGTATCCTCACTCATAAAGCACTTCACACTGTACAGACAGCAGACAGGAATAGAGGCCCCCTACTTGGAAAGAGGGGTTCTATTGGAAAGGGTTGGGAGTTACCATGTCAGAGCAGCAGGTACTGATGGGGAAAACAGACAGACTTTAGTTTTGTTTCGAATTGCAATTCATCTGAATATGGAATTCCGACTGAATTCTGCCCTTGGGGCCAAAAAAATATGATTGATGGGGGAAAAATATGATTGGCTAAGGGACAGTCACTAAATATTCATTATATTCACAGATCAAATGAGAGGTGACCAATAGAGGGAAAAAGAAAAAGAGTAAAAAATATTTATACATTATATATTTTTTTTACCGATTCTCCTGTTTTTCCCTCTTTTGATGGAGCCAAATGGTGATAGAAATGCTCCTGTCAGTACACTGCAAAATAAATACATTATATTCATATTTTGTATGTATTTTGCAGTACACTGATTGGCTCATTTTCGCTCAACTTTGATTTATTTCTCAACCAGTGTTAATTTTGGCGACAAATTTCAGTTTAGTTTTAGTCATAGCCTTTTGACTAAAGAACCATTTTAGTCACTATTTTGTCATCTGAATTGTTTTAGTCTAGTTTTAGTCGACTAAATCTCCAGTAGATTATAGTCGGCAAAACTAAAATCTAATGGGTTTAGTTAAAGCCTCTATCTGTCTCTTTTGTCCCTTCCCCAGCCACTCTGTGTCTCTTTGTGTCCTCCCAGCCCCTCTGAGTGTCTCTCTCCCAAGCCGTAGTCTGTCTCTTTTGCCCCTTGCACAGCCCCTCTATGCAGTGTTAATTTGGGCAGCAAATTTCGATTTTGTTTTAGTCATAGTCTTTTGACTAAAAAGTAATTCTAGTTTTAGTCGTATTTTAGTCATCTAAATTGTTTTAGTTTTTAGTCTAGTTTCAGCCGACTAAAATTTTACTGAAATTGTTAGTCCACAAAATGAACACTGTTCTAAACTCAATTTTTCAGTACCAAAATACATACTGACATGTGGCCGAAAATCGGCCTTCCCAAAAATAATTACTTTTGTAGAAAAGGTTCGGCTGAACCAAATTTTTTTTACCATGCTCAAATCTGAAAACAAAGACTATATGAAATAGTGGAAGGAGATGGTGAGAAAGAGGAGAAATTATATGGTAGGGATGAGAGAACAAATCTGCATGTGATAAAGGAAGAAAAAAATAGAAAACACAAATGTTTGGGTTTTAAACTTTAATAGGGAGAGTGAGCAATAACTCACTCATAGAACAGGGAACATGGGATTGGGGCACTTTCGGAGATTTCTGCAGATTTCTTAACGATGTTTCTCGTTCTAGGCAAGCGATTTGTCTTTTATATCTTGTATTTAAGTTGATTTTCTGCTTCATTTTTTTTAAACATTTGCTGCTTTTATATTTCTGTAAAATAAGATATTTTGTGCATGTTTCATGACTTCTAGATACTAACTCAATGAAATCCCAAAATGGAAAAAGAATAAAAACATTTGAGATAAATGACACAGATTTTATAATAACCGTGGAAAGTGTTGCCTGCCGGGAGTGAAACTCTGTAACGTTCCCAAGTAAAGTTTCTGCTCAGAGACCAGAGGCGTGAGATTCAGCTGCAAGTCTTAGCAGGAAGTGGCTTAGACATTCATTCCGTGTAACGAGATCACATGCAGTCTTGCATCACATGATAAGCCTGTGCGCTGTAAACAAGCTGTCGTGTTCCAAGAACTATCATTAACCCGCTGCTGTTTCTACCTCTCTGGTCTCTATGACATTTTCATTTTAAAGTTTAAGTTTACCGGTGTTAGCTATTATGAATGTTTTTTCTGTTCGTACAGCATTGAGAATCTAAGAAAACACTTCTTTTGAAATTACACCGCTCAATAAAATATTGAATATCACCTATAATGCAAATTAACCTTTTTCTTCAGAGGCTCCATTTTTATTTTAAATGTTTATCGAAAATGTTACAAATTATATCAAAATCCAGTTCAGACCATGCACATAATTAAAAATGATAAGAGATAAAGAAACACTGTTATATTAATCCTCTTCTCTATACGCAATTTCCATGCCACATGTTGTTTAGAAAAATCAAGTGTGAAGGTAGTTGGGATAGTGTAGGAAGAAACCCCTTTTACTTATAACAACTTACCCAGACTAACTTGACGCAAGACGTAAATGGTGACAAACAGGCCACAGCTTAATTTAAAACAATACCATTATTAACATAATACATAAACATGACATTCATTAACCGCAACTTCCATTACCAGATCCTTGCCAACCATTTAACATAGCCAGGGCGCTTGCCTCCCCCCTCGTCTATACACCACAATTGGCCTTCCAACTGGCCTTCCAAAACTATCCACGCTAATCACTGGCTTTTGCTCAGTGGGCACGTCATTCACCATGACTTAACCATACCATCCATGCTAACCATTGGCTTTGGCTCACTAGGTACGTCCTTCATCATAACTTAATCCTAAGGCTAGGGGAGGGATCAGCCCTGAACCATTTCCACTGGACCGCTGGTCCAACCCTGACTGGCAAGGACCTTCATCCGCCACAAACCCCCGCTGTTTTACCCCCTAAAATCAGCGGGGCCGCCCCACCAACACCGCCATGGCCTCCTTCAAATTGTCTTGCAGCACCAGATTGAAAAGATCCAGCCCCACGTCCGTGAGTTGGACCCCATCACTGCAAAAATACATGGCTGCACTGTACAACCTCCAATACTACGCACAAACTTTGATACCCTTTTATTTAACTTCACCCTAGTGTTCTCCATTGCCCACTGGTCCCTTGTGCACCTCCAGTAGTTCTGTGAAACAACCTCCGACCATACCAAGTAGATGTCCGGGAGCAAAATCATTATGTCCCTGCGCATCATGTCCCCCAATCCCCCAACCGGGACCGCTCCCAAGTCATTACCCCAAAGATGAATCACCAAGACATCCGGCACTACCAGCAAACAGGATAAACGTACTAACTCTGGTAGCAGATGTACCCCCTGGACCTTCCACTGCAATAGGTAACTGTCCAAGAAGAAGCCCCCGGGGATAAATACCGTCCAGCTGCCTGGCCCAGCCAGCCCGCTGCCTGGCCCAGTATATGTAGGAGTGCCAGATCACCCATACTCGCTTCACCGGACCTACGGAGAAAACATAGCGGGAAGAGAATCAGCCCCAAGGGACGAATGTAGGACCGAAACCTTCCCGATTCCCACCTACTGATCCTCCGAATAGCCAACTCCGAGAATCCCAATCTGGCCACTTCAGTCGCTGCCCCGATACGAAACCAGTGGCCACCAAAACTCACTGCTCGTGAAGCCCAAAGCCTCCAGCAACTTGCGAAAAACCTGAATGAATTGAAATCGGGACAGGTGTCCCCTGTCGAGATGAATCAACAAGGGACCCTCCCCAGGTGGACGCAAGGCGCTGTACTGCAAGACACTGGCCACCGGGCACACCACCGAACCTGGTACCTCATTCAGGGTTACCCACACACCTCTGCCACCCGTATCCATCTTGAACCTGCGCATCAGAATTTGTACCACCCCACATTGGCACACAACATCTCCCGCCAGGTTACACCCAGGGACCCGTTTGCTGGGGCTAACGAGTTCCCCCACCCTCAGTGCCCCAAAAAATGTGAATGCAAACGCGAGCCTGTACAAGACCGCCTCAAACTCCGACTAACACACCTGAGGTAAGACTTGAAAGATGCCCAACAGCAAAGCCCCAGAGATGGGCTTACGAGAATCCGGGACCCTAGGACCATTACCCCAACCCTTCATTGCCTGTACTACCAGGAAATCCTTTGTAACGTCCGCGACCTTAGCCAGCTTAAACCAGAAGCTAAGGCCCGAAAGCTTGGCTGAAACAGCCGAAGACGATCACCCCGATGCTTCCCAGAACCATATCAGACGCGGCAGAACCTGGAGCCATGCCTGGACCGCAGAAAACCCCGCCGTAGGATTGCTCAAGCGCTAACTATTCTTGCCATGACTTACCATACCGAACCCATGTGGCCTCCAACACCGACCCGCGGATCCACTCCATCACTCTGTCAGCCCAAGAGACCACAGCTCCACCGGGCACGGGAAACGTGCTTTTGCACCTGCCCCAGGAGCAGCTGCCCAAAATTCCCACCACTGTGAACGAGAAAGGGCATCTGCTGTTACATTGACCATCCTCGGGAGACAATATTCTGTGTCAGGCAGCGCAACACCAACCGTAGCAGCAGCCAAACCACCGGGGGAGAGGAAGCCAAAAGATTGTTGATGGCTAACACCACCCCCAAATTGGTCTCGTAGGAGTGCCAGATCACCAATACTCGCTTCACCGGACCTACCGAGAAAAAAAAGAGAATCAGCCCCAAGGGGCAAATGTAGGACCAAAACCTTCCCGATTCCCACCTACCGATCCTCCGAGAATCCCAATCTGGCCACTTCAATCGCTGCTCCGATACGAAACGAGTGGCCTACAAAACTCACTGCTCGCGATTCCAAAAGCCTCCAGCAACTTGTGAAAAACCTGAATGAATTGAAATCGGGACAGGTGTCCCCCGTCGAGGTGAACCAACAAGGGACCCTCCCCAGGTGGACGCAAGGCGCTGTACCGCAGGAAACTGGCCACCGGGCACACCACCGAACCTTCAAGGTTACCCACACACCTCTGCCACCCCACTCCATCACTCTGTCAGCCCAAGAGACCACAGCTCCACCGGACACGGGAAACCTTTTTCGTCTGCCCCAGGAGCAGCCTCCCAAAATGTCCGCCACTGTGAATGAGAAAGGGCATACGCTGTTACATTGACCATCCTCGGGAGATGCACCGCCCTACATACAATATTCTGTGTCAGGCAGCGCAACACCAACCGTAGCAGCAGCCAAACCACCGAGGGATAGGAAGCCAAAAGATTGTTGATGGATAACACCACCCCCAAATTGTCGCAGTGAAATGCAACCCGCCGATCCCAAAGCAGATCACCCCATAACTCCACTGCCACCACAATCGGGAACAGCTCCAAGAACGCCAAGTTCCTTGTCAGCCCCGCCGCCTGCCATGATGCCGGCCAGGTGTCAGCGGACCAGTGGGCACCCAGGATGGCCCCAAAGCCTACCGATCCAGCCGCGTCAGTAAACAAGTCAAGCTCAGAATTGGACACTTCCGGGGCCTGCTGGTAGGCCCTCCCGTTGAAACCCTCCAGAAATACATCCCTCGCTGCTAGGTCCTCCTGCAGTGGACGCGTAAGTCGAACGAAATAGTGCGGCTTCGACACCCCAGCCATAGCCGCAGCCAACCTCCTATTGAGCACCCACCCCATCAGCATTATGCGCCAGGCAGACTGCAATTTCCCCAAGAGTGATTGGAGCTCCCTCACAGTCGCCACCAACCCACTCAACTCCACCACCTTGTCCGTAGGTAGGCGGCATTCCCTGGCCAAGGAATCAATCTCGATCCCTAGAAAACTGAGACAGGTAGCCGGACCCACCGTCTTATCCAGCACCAGCGGAACCCCAAAGAACTGCAACACTGACTCCAGGGATATCAGCAGCCGCAAGCAGACAGGCGAGCCCGCCGGGCCCACACACAGAAAGTCATCCAAGTAGTGTAGAATCAAGGGCAAACCCAACTCCATCCACACAATCCACACCAAGAAAGTGCTAAAACATTCAAAATAAAAGCCTGATATTGAACAACCCAAGTCCACATAATACTTTTCTTCAAAAACGCACCACAGGTGGTGATGACACTCCGGAGGCATGGGGGAGCAAACGGAAAGCTGACTCCATGTCGGGCTTGACCATGAGGGCACCTGGCCCCGCCGCGCGAACCATACGCACTGCAGCGTCTAATAAGGCATAAGAGATCCGGCAAAGTTCCACATCTATATCCCCATTCACAGACCCCTCTGGAGGGTGTGGCAAATGGTGAATGAGCCGGAACTTACCCGGCTTCTTCTTGGGAACCACACGCAGGGACAAAACCCTCAGGTGCGGGGAATGGCGGGGACACAAAGAGGCCCGCCATACGCCCCAATGTCACCTCCTTGTCCAACTTGTCCCTCACTATCTCCGGGTGCTCCCATACGGAACGCAAATTCTGACACCCCCTGTCGCTCCAGCTCCCGATGAGTGATCCAAAACCCGTCCTGAAAACCCCCCAGGAGCACCTCTGCCGCTTTCTGGTTCTTATAGCGGCTTAGCCAAGGGGCCATCACGGTGTCTTCGCCTTAGGCCACACAGTGTCATCCTTGTCCCCCGCACTTGAAGCACCTGGCCGCGGCATGACTAACTCCGCACACCGAGCACTCATGCTTGAATTTACAGACCGCCCCCCATTTGCACTGGCTGTCATTATAGAGCCAAGAGGATCCCCCTTCCCACGCTGTCCCCCCCCCAAGAAAGGAAAACAGTCCGCCCTGGTGAGATGCCAGCCGGATCATGATAGCCAACCAGAGCCCAATGTCCATATGGTCCCAGCCTGTTGCCGGGCGGACCACCAGGCACTGACGGAATTGCTCGTCATAGCGCCACAAAGTAAGGCCCCCATACACGCGGCAAGCGTTCCACACTAAGTCCTGGTAACAGAAAAGGCCAGAACATT